CCCATAAAACAAAACCTTAAATCTTTTTTTTCCGTGATTCAAAAGAAAAACCACCCATACTTCAAACATAATGTCCTTGCAGAAAATAATTTGTCCCCAAGGAGACAAGTGTTGCCAATTGAAATAGTGCACAATGAAATGTCTGAAGTTATCATACTTTTGACATATAACAAGTGCTCTTGCTAAGATAACCATGTTAATGTTGATTTCTAGTTTATTTTTCCTTGTAAGTACATCATTTGGCAGCATATCCAAGCAAAATGTCACATCATTCTGTTCTCCAGCTAAGAAAAATTCTACCTGGTTCATGATAATATAATCGATGATATAGCTTGGATTTTTTTAAACCCCAAAACGTATTTCACCATGATTTTCTTATAAAAGACAACATAAATATTAAACATTGGGTTTATAAGCCCTAGCTTTTACTGTTAAGGAAAGGATCCTATGAAAACCAACATTATCATCACATGAAAAACAGGTATGACATCTTTGGGGAACTAAGAAAAAGTACCCTTCTTCAGAATACAAGCCAAATATTTAAGTAAGTTTTTATTTTTTTTAATTTTTCAGCTGAAAACTGAGTAAGGCTGTTTCACTTCACTAAGCTACAAACAGGCAACTTTATAAGGACAAAACATTAAATAACTATGGTTCACTTATATTTGCCTACTTCATAAAATTAGCATTTAGAAATGAAGTAGAAAAATACAATATCAAAATACAACTCAACCCAATTGGTCTAAAAATGCCTTTGTCAACTGTCTCTGGGTTACTATTAAATATAACAAATAAATGAGCAAAATCTAAATATAACAACAAAATTCAATGGTCCTATGATAGAAAGGTTCTTTTTTTTTAAATCATTCCTTCTATTTTGTAGTTCTGGATTTTGTCTTCTCTGTCTATCTTTATCTATGAGTATTAAGATTCTGTATTTTGCCCTCTGCCTTTTTTTTTTTTAACTCTATACTACTTCCTTGTAATCGTTCGTCTTTCCCATCACATCAACTCTTCTTCACCTCTTCACGTACGCCTCTTAAAATGCCAACCTCCTGAACATCTCCAACAGGATGTTGTAAGATATACCAAATGTGTCTACAGCAGAACGTCTTTCCTTCAGATCAGCCAGTGCCCTGATTTCACTCTCTTTATGACATTATCGTTCTCCAAGTTACGTGGGCATAAGGCTTCAGATTATTTTTTAAATCTTCACTTTCACACCCTTCTCCTAAGTCCTCCACTGAAGACCAACCATTTCAACTCACAAAAATCTTTCAGTTTCAAGTGGCCCTAAGTCACTTTAGGGTACTTTGTTTTGTTCTCCAAATGGGATACCTGTCAGAAAGCCTATGAATATGCTTTAAAGTGGAGATTGTAGCATCTAGAGAAAAGGCTGGTTCAGGGTCCAGAGGAGCTTGCAATTGACCATTTCTAGGAAACTCAAATATGCAGAAACTAGATCATACTTTAATTGAATAAAAATTAATGTATCCAGCATACACCCATGCTATATTTAAAGGTCATGCATGTTTATCTTTGTATCACAGGTATAAAAAAAAATAAAAGCAGGAAAGACTGTTAAATGACTGTCACCACAATGACTACCTATTAGGCTTATCAGTGACTACATTTCAGCCTTAATCAATTACATTTTTAAAGATTTAAATCTCTGAATCATGATCAACAATTTTGATCCCTATTAATTTGTTCATTTCTTCATTGTGGCCCTTACCACACTTGTAATATAAGTTTTCTTGTCTGTCTCTCAGGGCAAGAGGGTTCTATACAGGATTACATTGCATTCGATTTTGTATTTCCAGCATTTAACACAGTGCCTGATCCAAAACATGTGTTACATGAATTAACTTATATTGCCCACTAGTCAATCAAGCTATGCTGACTTTACTATTCCTAAGAATAAAAAAGATACTATGTTCAACTGTGTTATTAAAAATTGGAATGTAAAAGGACTTGTTATTAAATTAAAAAAAAAACAGTTCTAGGACTCCTTTTTTACATTTATAAACCCTTTTAACTCTGGTCACTCTTTGCCAATGTCTTAAAACTAAGTTTTGAGAGTTGGCATCTTCTTCCTTCCAGTGCTGCCAAATTGTTCTTTCCTCAAAAATTCATCACATCTTACTCATTGCTCCAATTTAAAATATAAATGTGTACATTTGAAAATGATACTTAATATCCAAATATTCTAAAGTTATAATTATTAGACTAATTCGACTAAAAGACCAACAAGTTGAGGCTTTTAATATCTTGTTCATGTTTGTCTTAATAGAAGAATAAAGGAGAAAAAAGGTGTAAAAGGCTGGCAGGAAAAAAATCCATTTGCTGATTAAAGACAACATTCAAATTAAATCAATGAAAAAAATTTTTTAAAAATCCACTGTTTTGCCACAGAACCAGTTAAAAGCAAGATCTTTGGACTTAAAATAGTGATGTCTAAAATTGAAATGTAAGTTATTTCTATTTTTGTGATATAAACTGCTATCTACCACTCCTGAAATTAATTAAATCAGATCTGTTTCAAACACAAATTCCTTGGTTAGGGACTTTTTAAAAAAAATTTGGAAAGCAACAATCACTATCTGCCAAACCTAATGCAGTACATATAGTACAGAATAGACACAATGGATGTGAGGCAGAAGGATAATCCACAAATGCATCCAACTCTGTAGAAATCAGAACCGAAGAAGCCAGCAGCAAACACTCACCCTCACCCTCACCCCAGAAAGACTGGGAAAGATACAGGCCACCTCCACTTACAGAAAGAGCCTTAAGCCAATTATGTTTGACCCTCAGATGACAAGCACTTTAATGAACACCTAGATTACATGAATTTGAAAGTAGAAGAAATATCAAGAAGAATGTTCTACGACTGCAACCTTTAAAAGGAAGTGTCAGCATAATATAGCATTTGGTAGAGAGCTTTGGTGTCTTACAAAGAGCACGCATTTGTGTCTGATGAAACTGACCCAGAACTGTCTTTGTGGGGCGGGGGGGACAAGGAGTTGGCTCCTCCTATAGGACCTGTTGAGTCCAAGTCCACTTGGGGGCAGAAATGAAGCAGTCATTCATTCAGACCATCTTGTTAGGTTCCTTCATTTTCATTAGATGATTTCCACCCTGTTTGTTTGCGCTGGTTGATTTCAAAAGCCAATCTATTTGCTTTTCATCAGCAAAATGGCTCTGTCCTCCAGGGCCATGCTGGAGAATATGACCTCACATATTTTACTACCTCTAACTGTTATCAAAAACAAAGATACAAAAAGTAACATTCCCAGGGGATGATAGCCTAAAAAATATGTAATTTATTCATCTCTGTAATTTGTCTAGATTTAATCCTGGATCAAACCAAACATCATTCATTAAACTAAAAAATATTTGGACAATATTTTTGTGGTATGTGTGTGTGCATGTCTATGTGTGTTTGGATAAGTCCCTCTACTCCTATAAAATTGCTTTTACTAAATTAAGCTTTGTTGTGATGCCTCCTGCTTACTTGCTGTTGGTTTTATGGGTGAGATACAGTGCACAAGTTGTCCCTCACATCACCCAGCTAGCCCTTCATAAGCCCCGCAGGAGATTTCCTCAGACCTTCAGTGAAGAGCTTTGCCTCTCCTAATAAAATGACTCTTTCTTATTTTGTAGACCATGCAAGTCCCATGAACATCTATCCATGTAAGGAAATTCAATTCAATTAGTTTTTCATTTTTTATTTTAACTTCTTTTATCTCTTCTCACATGAATTTAAAAAAAATGAGAACACTGGAAAAAGACCCACTGTT